CCATTGGAGTTACAAGAAAAAAAAAGGGCGCATTCGAATGTGTGCGGATCTTTGCGAGCCAAACAAGGCTGTGGTCACTGACTGTTACCCACTACCACATGTAGACGAGCTCCTCTCCAGCCTGCATGGTGCTAAAATGTTCTCTACTATCGACCTTGCCAATGCATACTACCAGGTACCTCTCCACAAGGACAGTAGGGACATTACGGCATTTATTACTCATAAAGGCCTCTTTCGATTTTGCAGGGTCCCTTATGGCCTCGCATCAGCTCCATCAGCGTTCCAGAAGATGATGGCAACCATCCTGGAAGGGGTACCTGGTGTTCAGAACTATTTGGACGATTTGATCATCTATGCTGTCGCTGCTGATGAACACTGCCGAACTCTCAATACTGTTCTGCTAAAACTAAAAGAGGCTGGACTGGTCCTAAATAATGACAAGTGCCACTTTCGACAGACTATACTGCGCTTCCTAGGTCATGTCGTCACAGCAGATGGTATTCTGCCTGACCATGAGCATGTTGATGCAATACTGAAAGCGCCACCTCCATCTGATGCTGCTGCTCTGCGATCCTTTTTGGGTCTTGCATCCTAGTACTCAAAGTTTATTCCAAATTTTGCAATGGTGGTAGCCCCCATGCGTGAGTGTGCCAAGGGCAAAGAGACTTTCACATGGTCTGAAGCTGCACAGGCCAGTTTTGATAATGTAAAACAGCTCCTGGTGTGCAGCTCTGCCCTAGCTCTGTACGACCCCTCCCTTCGCTCGGTCATCTCGACCGATGCTTGTGATTATGGACTGGGAGCTGTGTTTTCACAAATTCAGCAAGATGGCACAGAGAAACCAGTGGCTTTTGCATCGCATACTCTGACGGTGACAGAGAGTAAATACTCAATCGTGGAAAAGGAGGCACTCGCGTGTGTGTGGGCTACAGAGAAGTGGCGCACATATTTTTGGGGTACACGTTTTACCTTACGTACCGACCACCAGGCTCTTACGACATTGCTTACTACAAAGGGAATGAATAGAGCAGGATTGCGCATTGCCCGCTGGTCGGCACGCCTGCTTTGTTTCGACTATGAGGTAGTCTATAAACCAGGTTCACAAAATCACACTGCCTTTCCCGCCTCCCTCTGCACGGGCCAGCTGATGCATCCACAAATGTGGAACCCGAATTGATAGTACTGCTTTCCTCAGTACTGAGTTCCCTGCCAGTCTCTGATTTTGACCGTGCTTGCTCTTCTTATTCAGAAATGGTGGCTCTCCGGGAACAGATTAGCCATGGGTGGCCACCCTCAATGCGTGCCGTTGCCTAAAATCTAACCCCTTACTGTAAGCTGAGGGATGAGTTTTCAGTCCAGGGTCTTTACATCTTCCGTGGTGCCACACTTGTGGTGCCTGTCTCATTGTGCCACACACTGATCACGCTGGCCCATGAAGGTCATCAGGGTATTGTACGCACTAAACAGCATCTGCGTGACCTTTACTGGTGGCCTCATATGGACTCCCAGGTGCAGGCCTGCATATCTGCCTACATCTCTTGCCAGTCCAATGATAAGACAGCTCTCACTCACCCAGCTCCTCTACAGCCTGTTCCACTCCCTGACGGTCCCTGGAAGAAATTGGGCCTTGATATTGTAGGGCCATTTGAGACTGCTGTTCCTGCTTGTCGGTATGCTGTGACTCTGACTGACTACCATTCAAAGTGTCCAGAGCTTACCTTTTGCCCGTCCGCCACAACCGATGCAGTCTTAGACTTCTTGACTACCGTTTTCAGCCGTCATGGGAATCCAGAAACCGTCATCACGGTTAATGGAACACAGTTTACATTGGCAGCCTTCTGTGAATTTCTACAGAGGTATACAGCACAACAAGACATCCTTGTACTACTATTGGAGCAGTCGAGAGGTCCCATCGTGCCCTGAAAGGCTGCATGCAAACAGCCATCTTGCAGTCGCAGCCCTGGAAGGAGGCTGTGACTAACTGGCTTCAAGTGTACCGTGCTACGCCGCATGCAACTACCTCAACCTCGCATTATGAACTGCTCTATGGATGAAAAATACGAACCAAGTTGGACATTTTGCCTGTTGCACATGTGCCAAACACATCTGTCCATGACACTGTGGAAAAGAAACAAGCCAAGATGAAGCAGTACACTGACACTAAGCGGCATGCACATACACCATCTTTTGTTCAAGGAGAGAATGTGAGGGTCAGAATTCCTCGCTTTGTTCCTAAAGCACACCCTAAATTCTCTGCTCCCTTAACTGTGGAAGAGCGTGTGGGACCAAACACCTTTCTTCTAAGCGATGGAAAGAGATGGAATGCCACCTACTTGGCTCGTTCTGCCTCCGCACCTGAGAGTGGATGTCTGGACTGTACTCCAACTGTAACATTACCCACTACGCCAACCTCGACACAACCCACCCTGAATACTCAACCAAAACAGTCACGTTTGAGATCGAAACCTAAGTGGCATAAAGATTACTTAATGTGATTGACTGAGATGTAAAGTGTATAGAGAATTGCTTTTGCTTTGTTTTTAGTGGGGACCAGTCACTAATTTCAATTCGTAGTTTTCTCAGTACAACGGCGGCTTTCCCGTTGTATCGGTGTTAGGTTGTGAGATGTGTTGAGGAATGTGGGCTATTCCGCGAATACGAATTGTCATGGGTTTAGAAAGTTGGGCAGAATCTTTCTTGCTTCCCACTTCTTATTTTCAAGTAAACGGCATGAGGCAGGTTGCCTCCGTACTGCACAAGACTGTGACATGTGTTGAGAAGATGGGTAGTATTGCAGCTTGCATTCCCCTTCTGTATTGCGCTTAACACTGTGAGATATATGCGAGAAGGGTGGGCTATTTCGCGACTCGCGTCCCACTTCCTCGGCTGTAATCCTCACAGTATTATATGGTTTGAAGTAGATGGGCATTAACGCTTCTTGCGTTCCCACTTCTTATAATATACTGTGTGACAGCGCATGGAAAGATTTTTCCCTTCGTTTGTGTGCACAGATGTGAGAAGATGGTGGGCTATTCTGCGGCTCACGTCCCACCTCTTCGGCTATGATCCTCACAATATCAAGACGGTTTAAAGTAGATGGGCAGTACCGCTTCTCGTGTTCCCACTTCTTGTAAATTACCATGTGATAGCGGTTTTTGTGCACAGATGTGAGAAGTGCGCAGAGATGGTGGGCTATTCCGCGGCTCGCGTCCCACTTCCTCGGCTATGATCCTCACAATATTATAACAGTTGAAGTAGATGGGCTGTATCGCTTCTCGCGTTCCCACTTCTTTTGACCTGCAGTGCTTACCACTAGGGGGTTTCCCTTCGTTTGTGTGGATAGATGTGAGAAGTATGTGGAGATGGTGGGCTATTCCGTGACTCGCGTCCTACTCCTGCTGTGACCCTCAAGATACTAACGTCTTGGTAAGAGGGGTAGTATCGCCTCTCGCGTTTCCAATTCCTAGCACTATTGTGCAATAAGGTCTCTTTTCACACTTAGGGTTGTGAACCGTAAAACTGTACATTGATGACTGTGACTGGCCCGTGTCAACTCTGACCCTTACAGTGTGTTGGCAGTTGATGGTGTGTTTCTGGGGATAAGAACTTCTTAGAGTTCCTGGCTTATGCCTTTAGCATGGTATTCGTTCCCCAAAGTGTCCTCTAGGGGACGTAGTGCGAGTTCCCATTCGATAGGGAACATCTCAGGTTACCCATGTGCACGTCTCCTTCAGAGTTTTTATCAACTTCGCCTGTTATCAAAAATCAAACCTTTCTTAAATCATAAATCTTTAGAGATGGCTGTTCATGCTTTTATCACCTCACGCTTAGACTACTGCAACTCACAATACTGTGGTAGTTCTAAGTCATCAATCAATCGCCTTCAACTAGTTCAAAATGCTGCTGCCAGATTCCTTCATAATAGCCGCAAAAGTGCTCACATCACTCAAATTCTGCGGACCCTTCATTGGCTGCCTATTAAATTCAGAACTGATTTTAAAATTATTTTATTTGTATATAAATCTTTAAATAATTTAGCCCCTATTTATTTATCTGAATTACTATACCCATATAATTTCTGTACAGCACTTTGGTCAGCCGTGTGGCTGTTTTATACGTGCTATATAAATAAACTGAAACTTGAAAACTTGAAAGCTTCAGACAAGAAGCTGATGACGTGTGCTACAGGTGCCCTTTTATACTCTTGGTCGCACCAGTAACACGTCATGGGCCAATGACAAGTTCATTGTCGTGTTTCCACATGCACTTCAGTCACACTGAGGGCGTTCCCCCAAAGTGTCCTCTAGGGGACGCAGTGTCTTGTTCCCCTTCTCAGGGAGCCATGGTTACATGGGTAACCTGAGACGGTTTCATGTACGAAATCATTTAATTTCAGTTGTTATTGCAAGATATTTAGTATGGCTATATTGATGTCTTCTTGGGTAACCGTTGTTGCTGCCTTAAGACAATAATTCTGTTTGTGTAGAAATATGTTTGTTACTGAAGAAATGTTCTTTACAGGGAGGGAAGATGGTGTGTTCTGTGAAACACTGTGATTCTGCACATGACTGCTAGGTGGCAGTATAACAACATAAGTAACAAGATAGAGAAGGAGATTAAGAGAGTTCTGATGATTGCTGTGACTCCAGTTGTCTGGTGGTCTTTGTTGTAATAAAATCCCCATTGTGTAGGGTTAGTCCTGGCCTCTGTCCTTTTCATCTGCAACACCACACATGGTAAACGTCGTTTTAAAGAAACAAAATCAACATGAAAGGTCTCCATCCAATTGTTTCTGCTCCCAGAGCATAGTGGCCGAACTCCAAGGGGGAGAGAGGAACTTAGACTGCTTCAGGCCAGAAAACTGTGGCCACAAAGAGATAGTGTACCTAGTTGTGTAAATTCACTCTGTTTTCACTGATCTGTTTTAGCTGTTTTAAGCTGAATTCCTCATTCTTCCTTTTGATTCTTAATTTACATTGTCAGTGTCATTGAAGAGGAGTTTCACAAAATGAAGCAGCTGTCTGGTGGTTGGCTTTGCTATAAAGCTGCAGGTATGGGAATTTGTTGCTTGATAAGCTTCATTGCATTTTGTTAGTAATTGTAATTGCACGTTTAGCTATCCAGCTACTTAAAGTGTTATAATACAGTGACAAAGTGATACTTAACAATAAAAGCAGCATGTTGTCAGTATTTCACAATGCATTAACTGTGTTTTCATGTTTTTCATTAGAATATTGTTAATCAGAATATATCAATGTAAAAATAGTGTATTTTCTTTCAAAACAAGGTAGGTGTGGCCAAAGAAAACTGACTGTGGTGCCACCTGAGTCAGAGGGCTACACAGCAAAGTCTTTAAAAACAGCATCTAACAATGGCAAGATCACACTCTACATTGTACCACTACAAGACACGATTGACACTTCGCCACTACCCCCACATGCAGCTGAATTTGAGAAGATGCCCAAATCCATTTGTAATTAATGTGGAGTTATGATGCCACTTCAAGTTTTGGCTTTTGTGCATTAGATTCAGAGAATGCATCTGTAAGTTTTGTGTTTAAAGGTATATAATTGCTGATAATTGACTATTCTTTAGGCACATTTTCCCATTATATATATTTTTTCTTAAACAGGAAGAAAGTCAAAATGAGGACATCCTTTATGTCAGGGAGGAAAAAAAGAACAAACCCAACATGGTTTGTTAAAACAAAGCATTTAAAAGTATAGTAATGTTATTATTTTGAACACATTTAGAGCACATTGGATTTGCTTGCTATAGGAACTATGTCCAGTTTGTGGAAGGTCTTTTCCTGAAGACACGGTTGAATTTCACGCTAGTATCTGTTTAGATAAGTATGTTTAAAGGGGTCATATGCTGTTAAAAAACATTATTTTGTGTATTTGGTGTAATGAAATGAGTTTATGCGGTTTAAGGATAAAAAAAACACATTGTTTTCCACATACTGTACATTATTGTTTCTCCTCTATGCCCCGCCTTTCTGAAGCACGTCAATTTTTACAAAGCTCATCGACCTGAAAAAGCGAGGTGTGCTGTGATTGGCCAGCTATCCAGTGCGTTGTGATTGGCCGAATACCTCAAGTGTGTGACAGAAATGTTACGCCCCTTACCATATTGTGATGATGCCCTGTCAGGCCGGAGCAATGATTCAAAAACATGAAAACCCGTTATAAACGAGGCATTCGTTGCATCCAGTGGGGAAATAATTATGGATTATAATGACTTATACTGTCTTTTTACGCGTTTTGTTGCATTGCGCTGCGTAAACATAAAACCATGTCTGCATTTGTGATCGGAGAAATGACAAACAACAACTCTACACTGCCCAAAAAACTTGCTTTAAATATATAAAATATAAAAACTCTTTAAATATAAAAAAACGTACGTACAGTCAGAACAGCCGGCATTGTAGTCTACTCTCCCAGGAAATGGTCCTCCATAAAATGTGCTGCACACATCTAAATATTTGTGTTGAAGTGTTCTGGAACAGTGTTGTAAATACAACTTAACCACTGATTTCTAGTCGTGTCCATTTTTGGAAGGCCAAACAAAGTAGTTTCGCTTTCACAATGAAACACAGCATCACACACGGCGGCCTAGAGTGAGCAGAGGCGGCGGATTCGACGAAGGAGAGTCTAGCAGGCTTGCGGCAACCACATGTGATGACCCCGGGCTGGACTCCGCTTCATCCACGGTGAAAGCCGATCCGGCGATCCACAGTGCAAAGTTGCAGTATTTCCTCAGCAACCAGTACGGATCAGCTCCAGGCATGACGAAGCAGATATCGTCCTCTTTTGGAAGGCCAAACAAAGTAGTTTCGCTTTCACAACGAATCACACAGTGCCTTCACGACATGGTGGCGGGCAACAACAATACTACAGCGAGAATAAAAGTTAAGCCTTCTTTCTTTGCGTGAACATTTGGGCGGCATTATGCAAATCTTTCCACATAGGGATGTAGGTATGTGGGGGCGTGTTAGAACGAGCCATTTTAGGTAGGCGTGGCTGACTCTTAACTTTTATAAAGAATATATCTTTGGATTTGAGACTTTAGTCTTTGCAACTTTACAGATCTTCTTTATGCACCAAGAGCTTCTAACACTCCAAAGAGAAAGGAAAAATTTAAATTGCATCATATGACCCCTTTAACATCAGATTACACATACATGCATTACTTTTCTTTACATATGTACAGTGCAGAAAAAATTTTGAATTGTACAAACACTTTACTATCTGTTTATTTTTAAGTTGCTCTGAAGAAATTGAAATGTTTTCAGAGTGGAAAGAGGATGCTGTAGCCAGACCATCCAACAGACGAGAAGGTGGCTAGGATGCTGTAGCCTTACCATTCAACAGAAGAAATGGTGAGGATGCTGTAGCTTTACCATTCAACAGAAGAAATGTTGAGGATGCTGTAGCTGGACCATTCAACAGAAGAAATGATGACGATGCTGTAGCCGGGCCATTCAACAGGCGAGAAGGTGGCCTGGATGCTGTAGCCTTCCATTCAACAGAAGAGATGGTGAGGATGCTGTAGCTGGGCCATTCAACAGGCGAGAAGGTGGCCTGGATGCTGTTGCCTTACCATTCAACAGAAGAGATGGTGAGGATGCTGTAGATGGGCCATTCAACAGGCGAAAAGGTGGCCTGGATGCTGTAGCCTTACCATTCAACAGAAGAAATGGTGAAGATGCTGCAGCCGGGCCATCCAACAGCAGATTAGGTGGCGAGGATGCTGTAGCTGGACCATCCAACAGGAGAGGCGGTGAGAATGTGGTTGCCGGACCATCCAACAGCAGAGAAGGTAACAAAGATGCAGGGAAAGAATGACATTGTTAAGAAGATGAAGACATATAATTCACACAGTAGCAAGCAGAATGTTTTGTTTTTGCTTTACTTTAGATTGGAAGATGATTACCGATCCAAAAGAGGCTGCAGATGTCTATTGAAAACAACTACTAATTACTGAAGAGCAGGAACAACCCTTGCATTTCACCTTGGATCTCAGGGAAGACCTGGAGGAGAAGGATAGAGAGATCATTTCTGCATAAAAGCTAGTGTGATTCAAAACAGTAACATATTGATACAAAGCATAAAGATACAAGCATTCAAAACAGTCTCTCACTTCCACCAATAATTTCTTCTAATCAAATGTCCTATCCATTCAAACAAAAAATTCAAATGAAATTCAATGTGAAATTCAATTCAAGGCAATTTAGTGGGACTTTAAAGGTTTAAAAATATAGAATGCAATAGAGAATTGTTTTATTATTATTTGTGGGTAAACTAACCCCTTACTATCATGTTTAAGGTGATGCCGTCACAGGTGAAGGGGTGAGCCATCACATTCTAAGTACTGCAGTCCTAAAACTGACTCAAGGCTTCAGGATAAACGTTGGTAAGATGTTATATTTGACACTGTCTGTGAAATACAGGCTAAAGTCTCGTAATCTAATTGTGATAACGAGCATCAGAATTAGATTTTCATTAATTTCACTATGATTTTGATATTTGACATGGTCTTAGTCAATATTAAAGATATCAAGGTTATGTTTTCACAGAATGTTCTTCATGGTATGTAGGATTATTGTATGTAGAAAGTGATATATCACAAAATGTGTGTTTTCAAAGGCTTGATTCCAATGACAATGCTGACATGCACACAACAATATAACAAATCAATATTAATGTTTTGTTGTATCAATTTTATAAGTGAACATTTCTAAATTGCCAATTCAGGTATAGTTCTTGTGTGAGGAAAATGCTGAATTTCAATGCTTTCTTCAGGTAACACAGACACAACCTTGTTATTTGAGGGTGAGTCAGATCATCTTGTGCCCTCTACATCCCAAATTCTTGTGGAAAGTGAAGTGTTCCTGATGGCTGGGAGGATGGTTGGTCACTCCTTCATCCATGGTGATCCTTGTTTGTTAGGGATCAGTCCTACAGTGATACATGTTTTACTTGGGCGGCCAGCTGAAACAGCCACAATTCAGCTACAAGACTGCCCAGACCTAGATCATCGTGCAACTATACAATTGGTATGCAGAGGTTTTCTTTTAAAGGGGTCCTATTATGCTTTTTCACTTTTTCAACTTTAGTTAATCTGTAATGTTGCTGTTTGAGCATAAAAAAGATCTGTAAAGTTACAACGCTCAAAGTCCAATTCAAAAGGAGATATTTTATTTAACAGAAATCACTTTTCAAAAACTACAAGAATGACTCGTTTGGACTACAATGCATATTTTCCAGGATTTGTGATATTACAAATATACCGACGAATGGGATGAGACCTGGTTGAGCTGCACACTAGAGAAGGCAACGAGTGTTATCACTTTATCGGAGACATGCTAGCTTTCCCAAGGCAGACGAACTTAGAGTGGTTACAATTATCCGGGTTTAAATCTTGCTCAAATTGATTTGATTTTGACGCAATATTTACACTGAAGCTCGCAGGCAGCTATGGTAAGGCATGACATTTCCTGACCAGGCGCTGAGTGCTGCCAATCACAACACACACTGGCCCAGCTAACCAATCACAGCACATTTCATATTTCAGAGGGCGGGCCTTCATTTGATCCAGGAACTATTCGAGCCGTTCATGCCAGACTGGGGAGAGAGGTGTGGTAATAATGTAAAATATGTGAAAAATAATGTGTTTTTCGAACAACCTAGTATGAGAGCCTGTTCAAGTACACCCCAAAAACAAAATCAAGTCTTTGTAAAAGAGCATAATAGGACCCCTTTAAATCACTTGCATGTCATTCGTATGATTTATTTATGTTTCCAACAGCTTGAGGGAGACGATGAACTTTCAGATCAGGACAAGAAGACCATCCTTGTCTTGGCTCTGTCATGGGACCTCCCAGGTGTCACAAACAACAACAGGCATTGGCTGTTCAACCGACTCCTTCATCATGCTATAATTTTTTTTTCTTCCGGTTGTTCTCCACAATTTTAAAAGCATTTTTTCCCCTAAACAATTTAAATATATCATTCATAAAATGTTTACAGTTTATTCTAGTTCATTTATTGCATTCTATCTTTTGCAGTAGTTTAAAAGTAGTTTAAAAAGCATCAAATCCGAATATTAATATTTGCTTGATTATCTATTGTTGATGTTTTACAAGTCCTCGGAAGGACCATTCGTCAAATTTAACAATTCAGACGTGGTTTAAAAAGACACAAAAGTTTGGTCACTGCTGCAAGAACGTCCAGATGTTGTCCCTTTGCTCTTCCCCAGAAACTCAGAAGATGCCTGCTTTGCTCAGGTTTTACATACATTTTTGTTCAGTATTGGACAATCAGTATTTAAAATGTTTAATATCTTTTTAATC